TGCAGCTTTATGAAGGTGTGTGCAATATTGTACGAGTGGGGCCGTTGGTGCGTGACGGCCACTAACGCTAGTCAGGGATCTTAGAGCCACAGGAGCTGTTTGGGATTGCCAGCCCCCACAGGCCTGCTGGGAGAGGGGTTGCAGTGCGCCACTGAAGAAGACAGCTTCTTGCCAGTTTCTCCCCCTTACATTCCAGCTGTAGTGCAATCTCTAGTGAACTTGGGTAAAGCTAGGCCACGTCCTGGCACTGCACGGGATAGAAAAATGTGTGTCTCAACCAATGCCCTTACCACCTAACTTTGTTCTGCCTAGGCTAAATGTGAGGTTTATTGTGATCCAGGAGTATCCCTTTGAAGGGTTAGCAGATGAACTGTATGTCTTAAATTGTTTTATAAACTTCCACATTTGATAGGATTTGTAACATTTATTTATAATTAATTAATATTGTACTGTTCTAACCATACCTTTTATGTTCTAATGTAAAGTTCTTTTGAGCTGTTTGGAACATTGTGAAGCAGTGGGACAGCTACAGTAGTTTCTATAAAAACTAAACAGTAACATTTATATATTGCATCAGGAGTATTTTATTCTACATATAAATATATATATATATGGTAAATATATGTCTGTTTTATAAATATCTTCATTTAAAGAAAGTATCGTTATGACACTATCTGCCATATTTTTATACATTTGTGATATGAAGTGGGTATTATACTTCTAATAAAGGGAGTTGAATTGTGGCTACATGTGACTGTAACAGTATGAACCTTGCTCAACTTCTAGGCCTCATCAGTAGCCCTCTAGACATGATCTGGGTAGCAGATGAAGTACGCCGCCTATTTCGAAGCCTGCAGGAGAAGAAAGATAGGATAGAATCGTGGAAACAACAACAGGCCTCACTTCCGTCCTTACAAGGTTAGCTCGGGGTCTGGGGATGTTCCTTGCAAGTGAGGAGAGCGAGCTCATGAGCCTTTTTAGAGCGAGCGTGCTCTTCCACTTCGCAGTAGTAAAGCGTGTACACCAAAGATTTGCCAGTGAACATTCCTAGCTGTGAGGGTTGCAGAGGCACTTGTCTGCTGACTGAGCAAACTAGCTTTGTGCTTCTGACTCCCGACTACTCTACAGAAGGCTCCTGGCTAATGGAAAGTGAGATACATGGGTGGCATTTATATTCTTAAATGCTTTTCTTGGTGTTGTTGCTATTTCCAATCAAGTTAGTTAAAAGGCTCCTGAAGCAATTATAGCTGTAGAGAAAATCATTATTTCCATCTTGTTGTTCTTGGGACTGTCCACGTTTAAAAAGGCTAAGATGCACATATTTTGTATATCTATCTATCTATATATATCTATATATATATATCTATATATATATATATCATGAGAGCAGTACGTATCTTTCTCACATTTTATCTCTTTCAACTCCCAAGTTGCTCCCAAGTATCATCAAGGCCTTTGGGCAGTTAACACTATACCTACATGTCCTGGGGCCATCCTTGAGAGAAACCACTTCCACGCCATCATCTGTCAGTAGTAGTAGATTTTTAGAAGTAGTCCCTTAGCAATAATATGTTCAAAGGTCCTTTCCACCCTTTAAAGAGATAACTTCTCAGTATTTAGTACTTGTCCCAGAATTCTGAGAGTCAGCCCGATTCAAGCCAGCTGTCGTTAAAGTGTGCTGACTTACTGTTGCTACTTCAGGTTCCCCCTCCCCCAAGATTTTGAGAATCATAGCTTTGATATGATGATTATAAAGGGAAAAAAAAATCTTCATTTCTTTGAACCTTAAATTGTGTGCGTATTGCATTTTTATATAAATACTCTGAAATTGTGTATCAATTATGTATAGAGGTCATTTTAAGGTGCTTTTTCTTTCGTTTTAATTAGTGTAAAGGTCACTAAAATGAAACACAACTGGGTACTATCATCGACAGCATTTGATTACGAATAAGTAGTTCTGCATGCTCTTTAGTTTTTCTATCTTCTTTCTTCCCACCAGTTCAGTATCGTCTGGGTAGCTCTGCAGTCTGGCTATGCCAGGCAGCTGCTCTGTTACACACATGAGCTGGATCCTCTGCACTTTTGCCTGGATACCCATGACTCTGAAAGGGTGTCCATTTAATGCTTCTGTTTCCTACTAGAGCTGTACTTTGTACTCTCCCTTGCAAACCTAAAAACTGCTTCCCCCTGCCCCTTGAAAGACTTCTCACTGTGCTGTGTGTTTAGGAACCCATGGTCACATTGCCATGCTGTGGCACTCGCGCGCCGTCACCTGGGGGCTGGTTTCCCACGTTTTCATTCTTGCTAACACTGGGATCTCAGATGTTTGCCGAACGTTTCTATTAGTGATGGTTCTTCAAAGAAGGGCTAGAATAATTGCCTTCTACCTAGAGCAAAGTAAACCTAACCGATGAAGAATCAACACATACTTTTCGTACATTCCCAGATTTGAGCCAGAAAATAGCTACAGTGTTTTCAACTAGTGTTTTGAGGTAGCTCTTTTAACCTCTTCTCAGCCTTTTTCCATTCTGACTTTTCATTGATCCTCAGTAAGCTGTAAGTGAACTTACAATCTGTATTTCTACTATGTAATTCTCTTCCCACTCTCAGAGGTAAATGATGTTTTCTCTCAGATCTACTGGGCCCTATCTTAGCTTTTAACTGTTGTTTCCCTCTGGCTGATGAATTAGCCACCTTGCAAATATTGTCACCTGTGATAAAAAGGATTTGACTTAAAGTCACAAGTCTGCATTGTCTTCAGGAAGGGGGACTTGGGAAATCTGTGTTCTCTTATGTGCCCTAAAGGAGACAAAGGTAGGATGGAGGCCTCTGAGTGACTTTGTTTTGAGTGTATTGCTGATTTCCTTTTGAATAGAAACTTGGCTTCATGACTTTTCTACTTTCACTTCATCACTCTCCTTGTTTTCCTTTTCAGAAGTTCTAGGTAAACTTAGCCTTGTTTGGTCTTGACCTTTAGCTCATTTCTAGAGCCTAAGGCCACTAAGGAACCCAAGCAAGCTGTCTCCACAACAGTAGTCATCAGCCAGAGGTGTTCTTTCTCCCCACCCCCACCCTCTCAAGGGACATTGGCAATGTCTGGAGACATTTTGAGTTGTCACAGCTGGGGCTGGGGGAAGACACTACCTACCGGCACAGCACGTAATGGAGACAGAGCAGGGATGCTGCTAAGCATTTGGAGTGGTGTGGGAGTCATCTGCTGGCAGTGTTGCATGCCCCACAGTCCCCAGAGCGCAGGCCTGCCTTTGCTCTCACCAGCCTACAGAACTCCCTGTAGGAGCGCTTCAGCACTCTGGTAGAGCCTCTCCTGCCCCTCTTCTGGAATCCAACTGTCCATGTCCATGATGTCGGGCCTGCTGGACGGTGCAGCCTTAGGGAGGAGACCAGAGTTCTTTTATAGGTCAGAGAATTTCAATTCTAGGTCAGAGTCCTCAGAAAATCCTTCTTTGAGCCATGAGGTCTATATTTAGCAGCAAGTGAAAGCCTGGCAGATTGGCATGGTTTTTACCAACTGCACAAAGGCACCCATGGCTTTTAGCTGTGTCTCCAGAATGAAAATGTCTTTGTTTTTCCTTCAAGTAATTTAATAGCTCTTTACAAATACTGGCATATGGCAAACTGATTAGAAGCAAAAATCCCTTCCTTGGTGGTTGTGATGTGACTGTTATAGGAGTATTTGTGCTGTATGCTTTGGTGAAATCTGTTTTTAAACATGCTTTAAGACTCACCATGTGCAGTTGTACTTTAATTCTAAGCTCAGAGCTATTGCTGGTTAGTTTCTAGTCACGTCATGTATTATAAAGTATGTTGTGGTTGTAGAGTTAGCCAGTTTAGCATGTTCCTAACCCGAAAATTAGTGGACTACATCTAGGAAATGCTATCCCTCTTCCCTTCCCAGCACCTCTTAGTTACTGTCATAGTATCCTCACTTCTTTAACTAGTTTTTAGAGTAAATAAGGGCGGGGGGGAAAGCCATTTCTTTTCTTCTAGCCATGTATTGAGGATGACTCATGCGTGTACCACTTCCTTCCAGGCCAGAGGATTAAAAGTTGAAAGTTCTGTCTATATCTGTTCACCTAGGACCTACTAGTGAGCAAAACCCGTTCAGCAAAGGTGTTTGCCACTTGTGGTTTATGCCTAGAGCTCAGCTGGACCTGTCTGTTCTCTCCTGGTCAGAACAGTTTGGAATTAACACCCGTCCCCCACTGTAAAGAACTGCTTTTACATCTAAGAGCCCATTACCTCCTGCATTGGTGAGGTCCTTGTGGGTACTAACTAAGCTCCACACACTCCTTTCTGTGAAGCAGCAGTGTGGGATGAAACACAGAACCCCATCACAATAGATGGAAAACCGTCCTTCCTCCTTCAGTGCATCACTGACAGTGTGTAGACAAAGACAACATCTCTGTGGCTTTAAAAAATGTAGGCTCTTCCGAAGGGACTGCAGTAAAGACAGTGGAAAGGTTCTCAGTATCCTGCCATAAATCCCTAGGGACAGAATTTCCTACAAAGGTCCTCTCTGAGACTTGAAAGACCTACTTAAAAAACAAAACAACAAAACCACAACCCACCAAAAACTTTTAAATTATTACAATTTCTTCCTTTGCTTCTTGACCAGCTGGGCAACAGGAAATCTGGAGGTCTGATCCAGCAGGTTCACAATTCTGTTTTAGAAATCGTGAGTAAATGCCGGGACAGGACAAGTCTTTACCTGTGGGTCCACAGCCAGTGTGGTAGAAATTAGGTGACCAGGAAACTCTGGGCCTGCTTCCCATTCTTCTTCGTCTTCTTCTTTTAAAAAGTGAATGTACTATTAGAGATCATAGACTTTCTTGCCAACCCAATTGCTACGTGAATACTCCTTACCCATAGTGCTTTGTTAGTTCATCCTTTTGAGGCCTGGGCTTGACTCCATCTCTGTCCCCGCCAGGCACTGCCCCACCTTTCTGTGTATTTAATCTAGGCTATTAAATATGATCACGGCCTGCCTTGTATTCCCATTCATTACCTGTGCCCTCCCAAACTTGAGGGAGGATTGTCTTTCGTTTTGCCAGAAGAAAAAAAAAGGAAAGAAAAGAAAAAAGTAAATTGTACTAGCCAGTACGTTGGCTTTGTAGGGCCTGCAGAACTGAAGCAGCTCTGCTTTTACTTTGAAGGCCCTTCTTTACCCACAAGGTTAAGCTTTCTGAAGCCCATGTGATCCTTGGGTCATGTTTTGACCCTCCTTTGGAATCTTGTAATTGGTCTCCACATTGTGTGCAGATTAGAAGTTGCCTTGTTTGCTACTCTTCCAACAGAGTATCAGGGAGAAAGAGGCCTTATCTGATCCTCCATCCCTTCAGTTTGACAGACTGCTAAGAATTCCTCAGGACTTCCTTTGGTGTGGTTTGTTTTTTGTTTTTGTTTTTTTACTTTTCCTGAAGACCGATCTGAATCATTTCAGGAGTAGACACGCTTGTCCTAGTGTTCTGCTTCAGGTCTAATTAGAAGAAACCCAGGAATAGAAAAGGTAGATGCCTTGACTTTTGTCCCTGCTGTGGGATGAAAGTGTTTATTGCCAGAATTGACAAAAGCGCCAGTTACAGAACATTCGGAATTTGGGGAAGAAAGGGTACTTTTCTTCCTGGAGAACTTTGACGTTCTCTACAGCAGCTTTGCGGGTTTTTTTGGGGGGTTTTTTTCCAAAATGGGAAAGAAAGCAGAGCTCGCATAAAATCCGTTTCCATGAATGGTACACACTTGGTGATGGTCGCCTCAGTCTATTTCCCTCTTCTTGTTTACTCTTTGGTCGTTGGTTGAGACCGGGCAGAGGGGCAATGCTGTGATTCAAAGAAGTCAGTTCTCATTGTATATATGGATTAATGACAGAAACGATGAAACCAAACTGAGTAATTGCCCTAAATGCCTGTCTCCGAAAATGGCTTTGTGCCGTTTTGAATTCAGGTAGTTATTCTGTAAATACTAACTAACTAAGCAGGTGATTCAGAGCTTCTTCAATCTCTAGGAGGTTTGGAGGGAGTGTCTGGGGGGATGGAGGGTATGTTGTCAGCGAGACCCTGTTCAAGCTTGACAGCAAACGGAAGGCTCAGCGAGAATGACATGGCACCCAAATTTGTGCTAGATGAAGAATCACTGGAAATTCTTAATTGCACAGACTTTATAATCCGTAATACAAATGATAATTGCATACTTTTTACTGTGGCAAGGGTGTAATGTGGTGTTAATCTTTTTAATTTTTCAAATCCAAAATGAATTTAAAAGTGTTGAATATTTCAATTCCTCACAAGCTAATTATGAACCATTTGTAAAGTGTTTATATAACTCTTTGTATCATGTGTTGGTACATCTTCTCAAGTTTTTTCTGGCATGTATTCCATTCTAAACTTCTGTAAAATTTCTATTGTTGCTGTAAATATTATACAAATATATATTCCGTGGTAACCTTAACTATCAGCATGAAATGGTTAATTTTTACTGAGCACAATGTATTTTTGAATGGATCTTCCGAAATGTCTTTAATAAAATGCAGATTTTGCACTGACTGTTGTGACTGCAAGGCTGTCCCAATGTCAAGCACTGTGGTCCCTCGGGTTTGAGCACTGAGCAGCTCCATTTGGTTTCCTTCTGTGTGAAAAATACACTTGAATTCACATAAAGGATAATGAGCCTTTGAGGTGGAAACCAGTTTAAGGGACAAATTAATTGAAAGCAGGGAAAATCCTGTGATTTGATGATGATGATGATGATATGTTCATATTTATTTTGTCTCTCTTTTTCTTTCTCTCCTTCTAAAGCCTTTTCCTCCTCCTGGCATTTTGACAACCTTGGCATTTTTTGGTGCACGCATGTTTTCATCTCCGTGTGTTGGTGGTTTGGGGATGTTGGGGAAAGATGGCAGCCTAACACTGGGGAGGCTACAAAGGAGACAAAGACGCGCAGGCTCCTAAGGGTTGCTTCTTGTCTTAGACCAGGATTAGCACAATCTCTCTGCAAATGGCCAGGCAGTAAATACTTTAGGCCACGTGATGCCTGTCGCTGCCACTCATCACTGCCATTAGTGCAAAGACAGCCTAGATGATACGGAGCTGAACAGTTGTGCCTGGG